TAACTCAAGTAAGGAAAGCCGCCAACTCAATTGGTGACTTATGCTTGAAACTGGAAATCACAAAGCGTAGCAACGAACAGTGCCGAGTAAGTTTGGCAAAGCTGGGACCCCCAAGTTTTGAAAAATCTCTTTTTACTTAAATTGCTATAACTTTTATATTTTCAATCTAATTTTCACAAAGAATATATCAAAATTCATAATTTTTATTATCTTTCATTTGACACCAATATTGCATATATAAAAATGAAAAAAAATTGAAGACACAATTCATGTAGGTGTTTAGACTCAATTTTTTCTTAAACCTATACAAGTTCTAAAATTAAGATCTCATAATTGTATAGCGCAAATTGATGCTATAAGTATGGGACATTTAAATTTAATTTATTTATTTGCGGAAAGTGTATGTCTAAGAAATTTTTTGTAACCTAATAAAACTAATTAAAAGAAACATATGTATTGAATGAAATCCGTACAGGAAAAGGGTTTCAGGAAAATTGTCCTCTAGTTGCGGTATGCAATTGCACTTGCACTAAAATAAAAGGTTTCCGGGAAAAAATAAAATGTCCTCTGTCCGCGGCATGAAATTGCACTATATAACCAGATATTAATTTTAGAACTTGATTCCACTTGAGAGAAATTTTGAACTTAAAACCTTCTACTAACATTGAATATATAAAAATATTACTACCTCCGTCCCATTTTATGTGTCTCACTTTGATTTGGCACGACTATTAATAAAGTGATTGAAAAAATAAAAGATGTTGTTGATGGAGTTTTTTTTCATAATTAATGTCTAAAAAAGAATTATTTACATAATTAGGGCCGGGTTCAAACTCTATCAACAACAACCTTTTATTTTAGCACAAGTGCAATTTAATACCGCAACTAGAGAACATTTATTTTCTTGTACGGATTTCATTCAATACATATATTTCTTTTAATTAGTTTTATTAGGTTACAAAAAATTGCTTAACCATACACTTTCTGCAGATAAATAAAGTTAAATGTCTCATATTTATAGCATCAATTTGCGCTATACAATTATGAGATCTTAATTTTAGAACTTGTATTCATTTAAGAAAAAATTGAGCCCAAACACCTACACAAATTTGTATTTAAGGTACCAATTTGCGTTATTCAATAGTTGAGGTACATAGTACATAAATACAACAACTACTGTCCCCATTTAGGATTTCAATTAAAAAATGACACATTTTTTTGGACAACAATTAAATGAGCTAAGGTAATTTGAGTATATTTCGAGAAGTAGTTCAGAAGAGTATATAATATAATAAGATACTTGATATAACTGTGTTGATAATTATATTATCGATCTTTAATATTTTATGATTAAGCGTCATTTAGAAATGCTAATTATTTCTTAAAACAAAAATGAAATCTTTTACATGAGATATCCAAAAGAGACAATCGATCGAAAACCTTTAGTTAAGACGAAAGGAGTAATACTACCTCCGTTCTTAAATAAATGCAACACTTTGACTTTTACACTATTCACATGTTCTACTTTGACTATGTTTTATTTATTAATGTAATAATATTATTTTATGAAAAAATATTGTTAAACTTGTCTCATTGTAAATTTTCATAATCTATTTTTTTTAATTTTTTTACTAATACAAAATCATTTATATTAATGGTCAAAGTTGTGTCTCGGCAAGTGTGAAATGTTGACCGTTGCATTTATTTAAGAACAGAGGAAGTATATAGTTATGGTATATTTGCACATTTAGGATGTTTTTTTTGGACTGAAATGTGCTGGTCTGGTTTGAACTGGTCTGGTCTGCTAAACATCTGGTCTATGTGTATTTTATAACTATGAATGTTTGGTCTGATCTGGTCTGGTCTGGGACTGAAAACTGTCCAAAAGAAAACATCATATTCCGTTAGAAGTAGTTCTAGCTACCATAATATTTTCATAAAACTAACTTCTCCTTTTTAGTTTTTGCCAGTAATAACAGATTAAAAGCCCTTCTATAGTTCTATTTTCAATGTGAGATCCACTACCATGTGAATTTAGGGCTCTGTATCAAATTTTAAATTTATAATAGAGACCTTCAATTGACTAAACAAAGCATGACGAGTACGTGGTTAGTACCACAATCATCTACCCTACGTTAAGATCTTTCCCCTTCTTTATGCAACTTCATTCAAACCAAACGGGGAGTAGGTCAGATCGTATCGGACCATAAACGATTCATCTCCTTCACACATTAATTGTACAATACAACCATCAATTTCAAAAGAAAATATTAAACCTTCATAAGCAGAAATGCATTTTAAAAACATGATTTGTAGGCCATCGGTGAATGATAAGTTTGAACTACTCAATTCTAGTACTCAAATTAATTTGTTCATGTTAGCAAGATATGATAGTTTAGACGTATCATAATACGTAGTACGGTAGTATATGCCTTATGAAAATGGTAGTATCCAAGTATCTAACTCTAAACGCATGTTGACCTGATCAAATAAAGAACAGACATGTTAACTTTTATACTTTCTTGATAATATATTTATATGCCATGTTGAGAAATGGATGTAGAAAATTACTTGGTTTACCTAATACTCCACCCTTCCTTGACAAATGTCCCGTTTTTCTTTCATAATAGTTTCATTTCATTTAGCAAAAGAATCTAAAATTGTTACGGTACACCTTATTAAAGTGTACACATTTAGCACACCCTCCTGTGTACACAAGCATCCCGTTTAGGAAAAAACATTAATTATCTATGTACAAAGACGAGTGTGAAATGTTTACAAAATGTGTATATAGACGGCTCGTTTAAACAAAGACAACATGTGTCTGTTTATACTAGAGTGTGTGCATGCCAAACATGTTCACATTTTGTGTAAACAAAAAATGGTTGTATTGCTATAGTATCAAAAGCTCTCGTTTTCTCAAACTCTTACACACATTTTCTTAAACTTGAAAAAAAAATTAAAATGACTCTTCCGCTCTTGGGGATTTGTATCCCTTAATTGAATACAAATGTAGGCATGTATTTCAATACATCACCAGTCACCACAGCATTTCCATCCTATATAATGTTTGCAAATACTCTTGAAGTATTGTTACATATTGTACGAACTACGGAGTAACCTTTTTTTATTGCTGTTTATTATTGCTGTTTCACAATGATGCTATCTGTTTGAGACATGTTTAGCGTAAGCAACACTGCCAACACCTAATATCGGGTTGAGTCGGGCTAAATAGTCATATGGATTCTAATAATATAATTAAAAATGGTTACAAAAGATCAATTGTATTGAGGATGCGAAATTTCATCTGATCTTTTCATCAATCCAAACTTAGGGTGCACTGTATTAGGATTTAGTGACAAAATTTTAAAAGTTCTTGAATTTTAAAAGTTTAGGTGTATTCAATGTGGACTTTTAAAAGTCTACAAAAGTCAAAGTGTATTCAATGTAGACTTTTAAAAATCTATAGAAGTCTAGGCGTATTCAAAGTTCCGTTCATTTTTATTGACTACTAAAATCATGGATTCTCGTAGATTTTTAACTCATTTTTAGTGCATTAATTCTCTGCAATTGTCTCTTTTCCTCCCTAAAGATTTCCGTGGACTTTTCTTATATCGATTTTCACCTCCTCCTCCTCCTCCTCCTCCTCCCCCTCCTTCTCCTCCGTCGTCAGTTAACCATTAAGAAAATAAATATAAGGGTCAGATAGACCCTTGAACTTACATAAAAAGGTCAAATAAGCCCTTATATGAGAGACTCTGTTCGGCCGTCGCCATTTGGGACAGGAACCGTTGGAATTTTTTGATAAACTTTTTTGATCTGATCTGATCTGGTTTGGTCTAGAACAAAAACCAATCCAAATAAAAAACACCTTTAGATAGGCATGGCAATGGGTCGGGGCGGGTACTGCAAGACCTAGACCCGTCTCGTGACTTGGCGGGGCGGGTCCGCCCCGCCCTGTGACCTGCACGGGTCCAAACTTGTTGACCCATGACCCGCCCATGCGGAGCGGGTCCGCCCCGCCCCGCTCCGCCATAACCTAATTAGCTAGTATGTATTTTTATTTGTGGAAAGCTGCTACCAATTGAATCTACATAAAGTTTATTTCTAAATAATAATTAAAAATTAATATATTAAATCAAATTCATGATACCCTAAAAATTTCAAAAAATTAAGAAAAAATTACTCAGACTTGAATAGTTAATCTATTTAATTATACTAATAATTGAACATATGTATTAAAATGTTATATATAAAGAAGTCATTGATAATCCGTCGTTCATCTCATTCTAATATATGTATTAATATGTTATTAGATCAAACAATTTATGATTTATTGTACACACACATATGTATGTTGAAGTATATTTGTAGTATAATTTAAGAAAAAGTGTGTATGCTTATGTATTGAGCGAGTCGGGTCGGGACGGCATGGGTCAATACTAATACCCGGATCCGCCCCATTGTATAGGCGGGGCGGACCCGTCCCATTTGGAAGATGGGGCGGGGTGGACCCACCCCAAATGTCTCGGGCCAGGGCGGGTCCCTGCGGGTCGGATTTTTTTGACATCCCTATCTTTAGATGCCATTCGGGGATGTATGTTTAGCCAACTGTGGAATGATTGCCTTGATTAATAAAGGTCTTTCACTGTTCACACTCAAAATAATTAAGAGTGTTTTTATTAAATTTTAGATGTTCTTATCTTTTCTAGACACGTACTAAGTATTTATCAAAGTTCTATTATTTGATATGGAATATTCATCAAGTTCATTGAACTCTTTTGAGACACCAGAAAATGAGTGGATTTATATACTTCGTATTTCCTAAAGTCCGTTTGATAATCCCTATTTTAGTATATTAGTCAAATTCAGACCAGGGCTTGGCTGCCTAGCCCAACATCATAGGGCCCAGAATTTTGAATGGTCCAAAAAAAGATCCAGTATTACTCCGTACATCCCAGCCCAACTTCAACTTGCGCCTAATTTCCCAGTCCATTCTCACGGAACTCAGGACGACGACAGACCACAGACCACCTGCGCACAGGACTGAGCGTCGGCGTCGCCCAAGGGCCAACACCACAGACCACCACTGCTCTGGAGTAAAGCCGTGAAGGACGGAAAGAGGACGACGAAGGACTGAGCGTTCCAAGCGCCAGGCCGCCACTGCCCACCGCGGCCCGCCTCCACAGTCCGGTACTCCGGTCAGTCCACTGATTCTCAGATTTTCTGATTCATTTAGTTGCTAATTACTGGGAATTTTTGAATTATTGAATTGCTGAATTGTTTGTTGAATTGTTGCATTTTGTTGATTTTCAGATTTTCTGATTTCATGTTTGTTGAATTGTTGCATTGTTATTTTTTGATTTTTTTGCAGTTAAAGTAAATCATTATTTGAATTGATAATAAATGTGTAAATGTGTTTAATAATTAAAATTTAAGAAAGTGGTAATGTGGTATAAATATATTATTAGGTAACTTTAGGTTGATAAATTATGCTCGAAAAAATTATGTTGTTTGTTGATAAATTAAGGTATAAATATATTACGGAGTATTAGGTAACATCAGGTTGATAAATTAAGACATTGATGTTGCAAGTTTGATAGATGACTTTGCATCTAAATATGCTCGAAGAATGTCTATTTTTAAATAAAATGTAAGTTATGAATGACTATTTTTATTTTTATGATTACATTTATTAGTAACTTGTATTTTAACACAATTTACTTGGTAACTTGTGTTGCAACATGAAAAAAGGTCCAAATTTTATTGTTGCATAGGGTCTCAATTTTCCCGGATCGGCCCTGGTCAAATTTTTGTCAAACATGTTTGCCCAATTTTATTTAGCCATCTTTGATTTTTCCAATCAAAGATAGTAAACTTTGATTCATTATTTTAACTAATACTCTGTATATTTATGTGAAACTTAACAAATTTATAATTTATGATAGTATACTTAACAAAGAACATTTTCGTATCACTTTCATGTTATAAATATTATCGTGTTTAAATATATAATCAGTAAAAATTTAACATTTTTTACTTGAAAAGTCAAATTTAGCTACATAAAAGGGACGAAGGAAGTAATATTTTACTTCACATGTTAAGTGTTAAGACCCGGGGTTGCATCCTAAAAAGTCAATCTGAAAGGAGGAGTAGCCCAAAGCCATATATAGTGTTTTATTGTTTATTACTTTCGAGTGTAGGACAAATACTTTTAACACGCCCCTCAACCCGAACCGGACTAGACAATATCGAGGGTGTATATAAATGGGCCAAACAGACCATTAAAAAGACCCGTAATCATGGGTACTAAACAAACAGTCAAACCAAAATCGGAATTGACTTTGATACCATGTTATAAGACTCGGTGTTCCATTCTAAAAGGTCAATCTAATAAAAAGAGTATAGTTATCCAATGTGAGATAAATACTTTTAACATCAAGCTTCAAATTGATTAATAATCAAAATAAGTAAAGTTGAATTGATTTTCTATCAGAATTGAATGAAATTAGTGTTAATAATTATTTTACATATGAGTTCATCATTTAATTTTTTTCTTAATTATACGGAGTTTCAAATATGAAGTGTATTTCAAATATAATTTTCCCTTAATCCATAGATTCAGCCACTATACTCGCAATTTCATAAATTAGAGCACTACTATTTCAGCAACATAATCAAATATTTGAGCATTTGATTGGAATAAAATTTGGGTTCTTTCAAAATATTACTAAAAAAATTATTTATACAAATATGATTAATAGTTACTATAATGTAGTTTCATGGTAATTTAAGTTTAAAATTTGAACATAAGTTACTATGTTTTCAGTTGTACTCTATTCACTAGTCACATTTTTATAAAAAATGTTTATTTTAATCATATATAGGCTATGTTTGGCAGTCATAAGTCTTTGCTTTCCTAGCTTTTGTACTATTTAAAAAGTCTCTAAAATCTTCTAGTTGTATGTTTTTTATGATAATGCTTAAGAGCTGTTAAAAAAATAAAAGATTGTTTCGAGATGCTACGAGGAGTAGCATATGAGAAAAGACTGTGACTTTTAGCATTAATTAATCCCAACAGCTTGTATACCGGACAGAACTAAATCAAGTAGTCAGCTTTTACAAAACAACTACCACTTTTTATTTTTATATTTTAAGTCTTTAAAAGCGAATGGTTACCAAAAAGTCAAAATATCTTTTCAGCTGGGTGTGTCAAACATACAGATAATATGTAATTATTTCATAAAATTTTGCTTAGTGCATTTATTTCTGTTCCCCAGCGCGGCTGCGCCCACTACTATCCTATTGCCGGCCGCCGGCGCAGGTCCAATGTTTGTCTCTTATAGGATACGATTTTACGAAAGGTAAGAAGAATATACCGAAAAGAAGTTTGGCATTATGAAGAAGATGTCCAAGGCAACATCTGTGTGGTCGTTTGGACGCCATAATTATTATTCGACGGCTGCCACGTTTTTCAACAAATACGTAGATAAGAGCAATGTCTTCTCCTGGAACTCTGTCATTGCCGAGCTATCTAGGAGTGGAGATTCAATTGAGGCGCTTCGGGCTTTCTCTTCTATGCGAAAGTTATATGTAACACCAAATCGTTCGTCATTTCCATGTGCCATAAAATCGTGTGCTGCCCTTCGCGATCTTTCTTCCGGCAGGCAGTTCCACCAGCAAGTTTTCATCTTCGGGTATGGGTCTGACCTTTTCGCTTCCTCGTCGCTAATTGATATGTACTCCAAGTGTGGTGAGCTCAAAGAAGCAAGATTACTGTTCGATGAAATTCCTAAACGAAATGTTGTTTGTTGGACGTCTATGATTACAGGGTACATGCAAAGTGACCTCCCCCGTGATGCTCTCTTTCTTTTCAAAGAACTTTTGGTTGAAGAGAGTGAGAGCCTGGGAGAGAAGGAAGTGTATGTTGATGCAGTAGCATTGGTTTCAGTTCTATCCGCTTGTTCTCGGGTTTCAGGGAAAACTATAACACAGGGGGTTCATGGGTTTGCAATGAAAAGGGGGCTTGATGAGCATTTGGGTGTAGGGAACACATTGATTGATGCTTACGCCAAGTGCAGTGAGGTGGGGTTGTCAAGGAAGGTGTTTAATGAGATGTCTGAGAAGGATGTCATCTCTTGGAACTCAATGATCGCAGTTTATGCGCAAAGTGGGCTTTCCTCTGAGGCAATAGAAACGTTTCATTTGCTGGCGAGAGATCAAGAAGTTAAATTCAATGCTGTCACATTGTCCACCCTGCTATTGGCATGCGCACATGCTGGAGCCCTCCATTTTGGGAAGTGCATACATGATCAGGTATCCATCCGTTTCTTGGAAAACTATTACAGGATTATGTACTGCAAGACTATTATTTTCACTAGATTCTTATGCTATGTTTGGATCTCTGAAAACGCTAGAGAAAAGAAACAATGTGGCCATTTTCATTAAAAGTTCTTTTCTTATGTTCGGATTCACATCGGGAAATTCGAAGGAGAAGCAACTATGATTATTATTTTTAGTTTTTACATATTTTTATATTGTTTATTGTTTATATAATACAAATGAATCAAGCATTAAATAAATTTATTCAGTTTGAACTGTTATTTTATTGCCCTCAACATGTTCTTTGCTTCCAAATTTAAGATATACTCTTTCCTTAGTAAATTTGAAACTCTATGTTTTCTCAATTTCTCAGTAGCTTTGTTATTCGCAGGTCATAAAAATGTGTTTGGAAGATAATGTATATGTCGCAACCTCAATCATTGACATGTATTGCAAATGTGGCCGACTAGTGATGGCTAGGAAGGCATTTGATCGTATGAAAGAAAAGAATGTGAAGTCGTGGTCTGCCATGATTGCTGGCTATGGGATGCATGGCCGAGCTAAGGAAGCTCTTAATGTCTTTTATGAGATGAACCATGCTGGGGTGACTCCAAATTACATTACATTTGTTTCAATCTTAACTGCTTGTGGCCATGCTGGTTTGCTAAATGAAGGATGGCATTGGTTTAGAGCCATGGAACACAGATTCCATATACAGCCTGGGCTGGAGCATTATAGTTGCATGGTTGATCTGCTTGGGCGTGCTGGCTATCTCACAAAAGCATATAATCTAATCAATGAAATGAAGGTGATACCAGATTCTGTTGTTTGGGGTTCTCTTCTTGCTGCTTGCCGAATGCACAAAAATGTAGAGCTTGCAGAAATTTCTGCCAATAAATTATTTGAAATAGACTCAACTAACTGTGGGTATTACGTCTTGCTTTCACATATATATGCTGATGCCGGAAGGTGGAAGGATATGGAAAGGATGAGAATTATTATGAAAAATAAAGGGTTAACAAAAACTCCAGGGTTTAGTCTTGTTGAACTGAAAGGTCTGGTACATGTATTTCTGGTAGGAGATAGACAACATTGTCAACATGAGAAGATTTATGCATATTTGAATGAGTTGTCCATAAAGTTGAAAGCCATTGGCTACACACCAAACATGACTTCGGTTCTTCATGATGTTGATGAAGAGGAGAAAGGATTGGTATTACAAGTTCACAGTGAGAAGTTGGCTGTTGCTTTTGGGATATTGAATTCTATCCCTGGTGCAACTATCCACGTGATTAAGAATCTTAGGATATGTAGTGACTGTCATACTACAATTAAGCTCATAACCAAGATTATTGATCGGCAAATTGTTATTAGAGACTCCAAACGATTCCACCATTTCAAGGATGGATTGTGTTCATGTGGGGACTACTGGTGAGGTGATTAAAATGGTTTAGTCAGAGGCAGAGAAGCACTTGTGGAACATATACTGTTGAAGAGACTACTTGTGGAACACTTCGGTGAGTTTGGGAGTTGGGTTTTTGGGGGATTTGGAGGGCCAAGTGTCTTGATATACATGTGAGATTTTATAACAACTGAGAATAAAATAATTAGTGATAAAAAAAAATTCAAACACCCTGAATTTCATTATTACCAACATTTTATTTTATCAAGATATATGCCAATAATCCAGACTCCAGATTAAAACACATTTATATGATCACTGTATTTTTTCATCATTGACAGGGCAAGTAAGAATGTAGTTTTATCTGTGGCAAACTACAGGCAAAGCATGGAGGACACCTTTCCTTTTTGAAGGACTTACTGCATCTAGCTTGTGGTATTAATCATATTGTAACCTTAAAATATTCATGTCTCTGTGTGAATGTGAAGATACAAAATAAACGTGTATTATATGTATCAGGTTCTTATGATGTTTTTTTGGGCAGTAAAATAAGTGCATCATGTTAGGCAAGTCAGCAAGTGAAAATGAGTTGACTTTATATGTGGGTGAGTAAGAGCAACCAATAAATTCATTGGGGTTTTGCATTATGGTTCTTTCATGCACAAACCAAAGCAGCAGTTAGTATCATCCGCTCCTTCGTAGAGTGATTGTAATCCTTAGGTTATTGATTCTTAACAAACCTTTATTTTTGAATATATTCTTTAAATGGCTGAAGTGCAGTTTTTTACACATTCGATTTTTAGCACCATATTAGCAAATTCAGTATTCAAATTTTAGCCAAAATATCACATATTTTTTAAAAAAAAAATTGATACCAATATAACACAAGCTTTTACACCAAAAATTCTTAATCAATGGAGTGGTCATTAGTCAATCAAGGATAGTTAATTTATGTGGATTTTAGTTAATCATTTTGAAATTGAATTTAAGCTTATATTTCTTCATTGTGGAACACCAATATAGAAACGCAAGGCTAGACACTGACTATGCACTGACATATTAGATCTCCTTAATATTTTATGGATCTATTTTGTATGCAGATCTGAAGTCACTCTTGGGGGCTGAAAGTTGTAATTAATACAGAGTATTATGCTTTTATTCTGTTTGCTTAAACCAGGATGAAAATAAGGCATAAGCTCCACTGTAAGTCTTGATAAACACACTTTATCTGAACAACTGGCTTGTGATGATTTTATTTTCATTCTAGCTTGTTTTCACTGACTGATTGCATTTTAAGGTGTCAGTTTCATTGCTGAACAGACATGTAGTTGCAACAAGAGAGGATGTTGGTACTACCCCCCTAAAGCCTTTTTCCTTGAGAAGCATTTTGAGTCCATATTTCAAGAGTGTACATGCAAAACTTTTGGTTTATGATTCCTCTTCTGAAGAACAAATTATTTCGGGAGTTCCTGATTTGGTGACTGCGTACATCCGACCCCCCCTTACCCCCTCCGTCCCCTTTTAAATGTCCCGGAAGAGGGTGACACGAGTTTTAAGAAAAGTGAGTTTGTATGATTGATAATAATTGATAAAGTAAGAATAAAGTAAAAATGATTTTGACACACAAACTTTACCAAATAAGGTATATGACAATTAAATAGGGATATCCCAATATGGTAAAATGAGACATTTAAAAGGGGAGAGAGGGGGTATGTTTCAACAACAATTGTATGAAATTCGAGAAAGTATTGCGAATGCAATATGGGATGATTATGATGTATGAGATGGTGAAGTAGTTGTTCTGATTAAAATAATGTCATTTATTGAAGGGAAAAGGGAAAAATAAGTCCTCGAAACAGCGAAGTATATTTTAGAAAATCATTTGACTGCCTTCCCGGTTTTATTTTTAATTGAAATTTGGTATGGGTAATTTAGACTTAATGAAGAAGATGCTTAAAAAATTCCATAAAAAATTTTCACTGGGAACCTCCCCAAATGGCGGTGCCGGACAGAACCTTCTATACAAGGGGTGATTTGCATTTTTTTGGTTAGTTCGAGGGCTTATTTGCCCCTTTTCCCTTTATCGAACATTTATGTTAATTTTTTGTGTTTGTAATTGTGCAATTCTTTTCCGAATATTAAGTAAATGTTTTTTACAAAAAATTGAAATGGAAAATCGAAAAACTATAAACATGTTTTCTAGTTTAGAAAGCAAAAAACTAGAAAATGAAAACAAAAAACAGGAGGCTTGAAAATAGAAAATGAAAACAAAAAATTGTCTTTATTAGTAAACAGGTCCTAAGTTTCTCCATTTTGCCTTGAATTAATTCTACTTTTGATCCTTTGAGTTTTATGTCAATTTCACATTTAGCTATGTCTTTCACTTAATTTCACTTTTGGTTTTACTAGTTACTCCATCAGTGCGCTACCCAGGAGTTAAGTACTTGTATAATACCCCTCCGTATCTATTTAGCGGTCACATTTTCTTTTTTTGTTGTATCAAACTAATGCTCTCCTTTACTTTTTTTTTGGAAAGATCTCACTCAAAAAGCAGTTACAGTACCAAAACCTCTTGCTTTTTATAAAGTCTATAATAATTGTCTTAAACTCTATGAATGAAAAGTAAATGGGTCATCTAATTAGATACGGAGGGAGTAGTTTAAAAGTAGTTTTATAAAAACAAAAAAAAACTTATAGTGATCCAATAAATTCAAAATATTAAATAATTCTCAAGTGTCATTGTAAAAACAAACTAAGATGTACATTTAAATCCATTAAGCTATTAAGTTAAACTACAAATTATTATAACTTTCCTTGTATGCAACATTCATTTCAAGTAGAGTTGTTAGTTGTTACTCTTGAGATCGTCGCCACATATGATTGCTCATGTATAAAAAGGGGTAAAGGATGTCATGGAGGAAGATGACAACCTTTTCGAGAGATTGATCGTCACTTTTCTTATTAATGACCATTGCACACAAATCATACCATAGGATTACTAAACTGTTCACACAATCGCACGGTGTGCCGACCCCAAGTTGCATAGTTTTATTAATTAAAAGAAAGAACATAAATGTTATGACATTACTGGTCGAACCACCAGTAAAAGAAAGTAGAGCTCAAAGTCAAAACAAAAATATAGATTAGTGAAAACGGGAAAGAACAAATATTCCGCAAAATTATACTCTCTTTGTCCTATTGAATATTGCAAAATTTCTTTTTTTAATTGTCCCAATAACTTTGTTATTGTCCTATTAAAGTAACTAATTTATTAATTTATAGTTCTGCTTATTTCTCTCTCTTCTGTATAAATTTCACACACAATTTTTACCTTTATTTATTTCTCACCTAATTCAAATTCGCAAAGTTCAATGGGATGAAGATTAATATAACACGTACCTGCCAATTTTGTTCGACAATTAATCACACAGTCTTTGCAGCGTTTGTGAGACATAAAAATGTGTATATGTAAGACCGTTGTCATCCATCTAATTTAACTTTGTATGATCCTTTAAATTCCTTTTATTTAGAAATATTAGTAATTTATTTTTTAATAAGTTTAAAATTATTGTTTTGGTTCATTTTTAATTAACCTGATAAGTTAAAAAACAACGTCACCAAACGGGTTCTTATAAGAAAACCATATTCAAAATTGTTCTTTTTAATTTCAATGTCCACCAACAAACACTAATAAGAGGTGTTCAAAAAAAAATTAAATTTCGTTGAGATCTCACTATAAATAATACTTTCCAAGTTTGGTTCAACTCTACTGCTTACGATACTCCATAAATGCAAAATCTAAACGCTAACATTTTCAATTGATTACCCGATTTATAGCTTTTCATAGTGATATACGTAGTATTTTACATTATCTTCTTATGGTTTTTTCATAATTTTATAATTTACATTATATTTTTTTTAACGTGTGAAGCAGTTTTTAGGCTATTTTTTCTTGCTTTCACCAATGAATTGTTTGGTTACAGAGACATAGAAAATAAAAGGAGAGAAGAAATGGTGAAAAGAAGAAAATTTGAATGAGAAGTAAAATTAAATGACATCCTCTCAAAGTTTCATACGGAGTACTTGGTATATTACAATGATGTTTGATGTTTCTCATGTCTTTGTGTTGGGTTTATGACTACAATTTTGAAAATTGGCTCAACGCTATCAATCCTAACCAAACAATATTTACTTTACATTTAATGTCAAACTGCATGTGGCTCTGTTTCTATCTTCCTCTTGTGTGTAATGTTGCAACAACTTTTTAAAGAAAAATTGTTAGTGTACATGCCTTGTACACAAATTGTACACAAAACCCCCTAGTTGCCTGTGTATACAGGTAATTCGTATAAAAAGGGGCAGGACTTCATGTCAAATTGTCTGTGTACATAGACAATGTACACATTTTGTGTACAACTTGTGTACACCAAGAATGGTCCCTTTTTAAACATGCAATATTGATCCATGATATTAAGAAACTTGTACCGATCGTCAATAGCTGCATGCCATACTTTGTTGCTATAAAAATCTACTCCAAAACTGAAGGTGTAAACATCTGAAATTTCAACAAAATTAACATTCCATCGTGCTTCTGAACTAAATAATGATAGAGAAAACATACATAATATGTCAATGCTCCTTGAATGAAAATGATGAAAAAACAGAATTGGTTCAAATTCCCACGAATCCATGAATAAATTTATTGAATTTATATATGTTGACAAATGATTATAACATCATCCTCATACATGTTGCACTTCAGAGCAATTTGAAGTGGATTTAGAAGCTGTTCTCTTCGCCTGATCTGAATGTTTCTGATCTGAATTTTTTAAGTTCTGATCTGATCTGATCTGAATTTTTCTGATCTGATCTGATCTGATCTGAATCTTTCTGATCTGATCTGATCTGATCTGAATCTTTCTGATCTGATCTGATCTGATCTGAATCTTTCTGATCTGATCTGAATGTTTCTAATCTGGTCTGATCTGATCTGAATGTTTCTGATCTGATCTGAATCCTTCTGATCTGATCTGAATCTTTCTGATCTGATCTGATTTGAATGTTTCTATGATTATAATTATGATTATAATTATAATTATAATTATTATAATTGCAATTACAAATATAATTTAAATAAAATTATAATTATAATCGTAACTATAATAATAATAATAATAATAATAATAATAATAAAAACTAAAATTAAATTTAAAATGAAAAAATTTATACCTATTACACTAATTATAAATATAGATATAATTATAACTGTAATTATATTTTTAATTATAATTACTTATATAATTATAATTGTAATTATAATTACAATATTTATCTCTATAATTGTAACTATAGTTATCAATATTATTATAATTACTCCGTAAAATAATTACAATAGTAATAATAATAATTATTATTATTATTATAAAAATAATAATTATAATAATAAATTATAATTATAATATAATTATAAGTAAAATTATAATTATTATAATTATAATTAATAATAATTATAATTATATTAAAATTAATTATAATATTATAATATAATAATATTACAATATATTAATAATAATACGATTATTATTATTATTAGTATTATATTATTATAATATTATGATGGTAATTATAATTATAATTATTATAATTATAATTAATTATAGATATAATTATAATAATTACAATTGATTATACTTATAATTATTAGAATTATGATTGTAATTATAATTATAATTACATATAATTATAATATAATATTATAATAATATTAATCATATTATTATTATATTGTAATAATAATAATAATAATAATAATAATAATAATAATAATAATATTGATAATAATAATAATAATAATATTAATAATAATAGTCTTCTTAATAATTGCATTTATATTACTATTATTATATTAAAATATTATAACTATTATTAATATCTTATTTCTTTATCATATTATTATTAATATATTAATAATAATTATATAATAATAATAATCATAATAGTAATAACAATATTAATAATAATAATTAATATAATAATAAAAGTGATAAATCATGTTTGAACTTTTCTGATCTGATCTGATCTGAATGTTTCTGATCTGATCTGAATGTTTCTGATTTGGTCTGATCTGATCTGAATCTTTCTGATCTGATCTGAATCTTTCTGATCTGATCTGAATCTTTCTGATCTGATCTGATCTGATCTGAATCTTTCTGATCTGATCTGATCTGATCTGAATCTTTCTGATCTGATCTGATCTGATCTGAATTTTTCTGATCTGATCTGATCTGATCTGAATAAAATAAGAATAAGCAATAAGTAATAAGAATAAGACGAACAGAACAGCACCTTAGTTATATCCTCATTCTCATTGTGAGAAAGACAATCACTAAATTATTTATCTCCGTTAATAGCTTAGGCAAGTTTAGTACTTTGTTTATTTTTTTGTGTGTCGTGAAAATAACTTAGTTTTTATTAACTTCTTACTTTTTAATTCTAGGATCCTTTTTGTTAACTGCAAAGAAAAAGAATGAACTGAATTAGAAACGATATATGTTTGCCTTGTAGAAAGCCTTAGTAAGAAAAGATGAATTTATGCTGAAAAATTTGAAGCAAAGGCAGACAGACTCACATACCATCCATACAAAGAAAGAAGAACATCAATTATCTTATTTTGTATAAACTGAAAATTTCAATAAAAACATAATCAAGACTAAAGTGAGCAAATCAATTAATGGTAAGAAATCAGGAAGTGAAATTAAGGATGTGAAACTAAACTATGAAGAAAGAATTTACCTTATTAAAAAAAGGTGGCTCGACCAGTAATGGTCCCAGTTTGTTTGCAGATAAGATTTGTATAGTAATTTCAAATTAAAGGCTATCAATTTATTCACCAAGCCTTCCCACATGAGAGGATTAAAATATTATATCCAATTAGAATATATAAATTTGAACTTCAAGTTCACCGCAATGCACTTCCTTAGGAAGTGCAAATCAAATGAGTTTTTTATATTAACTGACATGTTAAAGAAGGGAGGAAGGACTTAAGTGCCATGTTTAGAGGTCGGTGGTGACATATAGTGTATTTGTCTTCACAAGTGCCATGTTTGCTACAAAAACACAAGGAAGCGGGAAGATGATAAAAAGACGTTTTATTTGTGGGAACCCAATAACCCATATACCTAAGGGTTTAAATACAATTGTGCACGCAATAGAACCAAACACTTGGATGTGATGAAATAGGGTAAATGTCAAAGCATGTATATAGGTGAGAGCTAGTTGAATTAAGCAGCTACCTA